CTCAAAGAGATTGATAATTATTCAGACATTAAAGATGTGAAGTCTGCTCTACAAAAACATGTTGAAGATACCTCTCACACTATTGATTGGGAGAATTGGCGTATAATGGACAGGGACAAAGTTGAATATCGATTATTAGTCAAAGAGTCTGGGTTAATAGCATCATTCAGTCCTGACTTAAATCGTACAGTTAGATCTGTACCTTTGATTGTGTTTCCCAACGGCTTTTCTCAGAGAATGAGCAAAAGGAATATTGATCCAGGCGGACAGAGAAATGCTATGAAGAGTGAAACAAAAGGGACTGATAATATAATTACTGCTTGGCTGTCTACAAGTAACACACAGTATATACAGACAAAATTCTTCATCCTTTTCACAACATTTCATGCGTAAAATACAGTAATGTTCTGTAATATTCTTTGAAAATGACTCTATGAAGAATCGATACGTCAGCCAGATCTTTTTTAATAAAATAGATTTCAGTTTAGTCTATAGCTGCTGTTGATTTAAAAAAGAATATTCTAATCAAATTATTGACTCTTAATCGTTTTAATGTTTTTTCTATGATCGTCGAGTAAGTTTTTCACTGCGAAAAAGAAAAATAGAATTCTTAGCAGGAACTCGTGTTTTCGTAATAAGTTCACCATTTTAAGTAACGGTTCTGTCCCTATCTTCTCTTGCTACATTTCAACTCAAGGTCGTTATTATCCTGCATATAATAAAAGTACTCAAGTTATTTTTTTATCATTGTTTTCTTTTTCCTCTATTATTCTCTTTCATTTATCTCAGGTATCATTTACAACGTTGGAAAAAGTCATGCGTACATCTACAATAGGTACAATTATGACTGCTGTTTCTCTTCTTTTGTTTATTATACGTTTTATATTTTCAGATAAACTAAAATATTTTGTCGAATCAATAAACATAATGAAGGGATTGTTGCTTTAATTGAGACTATTTCCTATTTTTTGTTGCGTTTTATTTGTTGTTTTTTCGGATCTATTTCTTTATAAAGATAACATATACTCCCTTTTAGATCAATATCGATCTTCCTCGTTTATTATATATTTGCTAGCGTGAATCGCTCATATTTTTCTCACTCCTTCACACCATGAATCTCATAACTACTCTTTTATTTAATGCATGTTTTTTTCCAATGCAGTGACTTATGTCGTTAAGTTGCACGAGTGGACAAAAGGAAATTTTACAATATTTGTGATGACCGCTTTACATATACATAACTGAAGGTTTATAATATCTCTACGCTTTCCTATAGATTCTCATGCCTGCTGAGGACGAGATTCCCCATTCCAGTTCCGAAGCAAGACTTTCATCTAATCAGTCATTACCAAGTAAAAAACAATCCACTCAAAAACCGAAAGACCACGTACAACGACGCGAGCGCAGGAGGTATTTGTGTCATGTGTGTTTCTGTGCATAAAATAAGTTAATATCACTGTTTCCGTCAATTATATTCAGCAAAAATAATTTAGGACTTAAAGGGTTAATGTACTCACTCACACGAGCATATGAAACCTTTCTTCAGACTATCTTTAGTTTTCGTTATGTTCCTAACATAACCTTTAATAATATTCTATCTTCTTTATTTTATTTATCAGAGAAATAATAATCCAAAATAATCACATGAAAAAACGCTCTTTAAAACTCAGTTATTTATACTTAAAATGTACATATGGTTAAAAATCTGAAAAAGAGAGAGAAAGATCTACTGATGTCAGCAGAATAGAATATTTACTACTGACCGAGACTAATAGCGTTAGAAGAATAGAAAAAAACATAACATATACTACTAACTAGGACATGTTGCATAAGCAGTAGTGCATATTCAAGACATATGATAATATATGATCCTCTTATGTCTTCATGACATAACAGTTTATCTACTCGTAATAATTCAGTGAGTAAAAAACTGAACTAAAACCAGCTACGGCATCAGGTTTTAATCCGCGTTTTGTCTGTTTGTTCGTATCTATATTTTTAAGGTAAACAGACTTTATCTAATGATGTAGTGTGATAAGGTTCATACAGCTCACAATCATAGCTCATTTCTTTTCGTTCATCCGCCGACTCCGATAATGTTAAGAAAGAATATTTTTAGAAAGCTATATTTTAAAAATTTCAGTTTTAAAGAAGTTACTCGTGAGTTTCATGCGGAAAATATTTTCTAATTTTTAAGAAAATTTTAAAATTTCAAAAAAAAGAATCGAACTTTTTATTGGTTATTCAGATGAAAATAATACCGCAAATCTGCCACAAAAACAGAATCCATCATCGTCGTCATCATCACCACCACAAGTCAAAAATATTAAGCAAAATGACAATCAAGAAGCAGAGCATATTGTCTATATACCAGTCTTACCACACAGTGAATCAGGTTCAGAAGTGGAGAAATTGCAAGAAACAATATTAAATCGTCTTCGACATGGTCATCGTGTTCATCCGAAACATTGTCAGTGTCTATCAAAAATTGGTGTTGGTATTTTATATACTCAGCTTTTGATTCATAACATAAGCCAACATTTGCATTGATATGACCAATTTGATCGCCTGTAGAATCAATAAAAATATAGCTTTATTTCTGTTCAGATTTACGATTCGTGCAAATATTTCGGTACTGAGAAAATTCATTTTCAAGTTTTGATATCATATTCGACAGCAATTCATTAAAAAAATTTTCATTTAGGTGCGTGTTCGATCATTTTGTGGTACTCTAACGCCAAAAAGAAAAAGTCGCCTAACTTTTGCCGATTTAGCACGATTTTACCGTAAGATTGCAATTAATCGCGATTTTTCTGCTATGTGTCTATGGCAACAAGCAAAAAAAATCGTCGGTTAATCGTACAATTTATCGCGATTAATTACAATTTTACGTCAAATTCGCGATAAATAGGTAATAACTATTCGGGTAGTACGACGCTACTCGCAGGTTTAGTAGGTGCTTTCAAAACGATTTTGAAATAATACAAAAGGCTTTTTGACTCGCTAGACCTAAACAAATCTTTTTGTGGTTTTTACATATAAAATACAGCTTATTGACGATTCGAATAAACCACAATCCGTTTTTCGCATGTAAGAAACATCTGCACATCTGTTCCGTTGTTTAAACTATGCCTTTTTTAAAAGTATACTGACATTCTTATAAACCCATAGGCACGATAGCGACAACCGACTATTGTGAGATGCAGTAAATAACCATTTTTAGATTTGGATAATACGTTCACAATTTATAGCTTTTCTATTGGAGCACAATTTGAAAACTTTAGTGTTTGATGACCTTCAAGAACAAGAAAAATTTGGATCAAGCTATTTTAAGGTTTTGAAACCCATTAAGATATTGAATCTGGCTTTCAGAAGACTATATATTAAACGATCTTTAGAGAAGATTAATTCGTATTTTTAAGTTGATCTAGTAGGAACCTCAAGCTTAATTGTGCATGGTATATGTCATTGACCTATTAAGTAATAGTAAACTATAAAACAAGAAACTTCTACCGTCTTACCTAGTTACTATCGGAGATTATAGATCTATCGAAACATATGTAAGTTGGTGTCCTCTTCCATAATCACATTATTCTGCATAGGAGTTTGAAAAAAGGTGAAAACTATGAAAGTATTATCCAAGTCTGAATAAATCATTCAATATGTCTCGCAGTTGTCAGTTAGTCGTATCCAGCGATGATTCCTTAGAGTGTTATATTTGGCATGAAAAATGTCAATTAATTTTATTTTATACATTGCATGGATAGTATCATCATCATCTTCTTGTATCATGAATGACTTTTTACAATGATCAATTGATAAATCATATTCATCAATAGAATAATAACAATAACCAATTTTACGATGAATAATTGAACATTTTGATTTACTACGTGGTGTTGTTAAAGTTTTTTTTTGTAATAACATGCAGCAGTCTTGATATAATAATAATTTAATTCAGTAACATTATCATTGTTTATATTTATTATTAATTTTTTATAATATTTAATTCCTGAAATATATTTTCGATTTTGAAAATATAAAGTGGCCAGTATTTTATAAATAGATACACAAGACGTCATTTATTTAGGATGTTCAGTTTTGACTGGTGAAAGGAGTCATTGTAATCCAAGTTAAAAACAGTGAGTGTTTTTTTTAAAAAATTTCGATTTCTTTATCATTTTTGTTTGGTGATGTAGAATTAGTATAAACTAAGGTGCAGCCAATTCAAACTTTCAGTAAAAATTTCTTTTTCGAGCTTTTTTACACCATTTGATAGAACTTGAGCTGCTGATCACAAAGTATTTGCCTTAGTAAATACTTTCTTCCAATCGAAAAATACGAAATACTCGAAAGGTGTCGTTTTTCGAGAAAAACACATCTTTTTCGAAATATGCAAAATTTTCTACTTCGCTCTTTTTTCCAGCTTCTGAAATAAGTTTTTCAGATTCAGCATCAAAAACTGAATATAGAAAAGCTGTTCAATTGATACCAGACCCAAAACTCTCTTGGTGGTGGCGCTTCGAATCTCGTCGAGTCCACTAGGTATAGGTCGATTTTGGAAACCCATCTAGTTTTTCTGCACAACCGATGGAGGCAAATATTTTATCTCATTCGACTCACCCTACCACCAGTCAAAAAGTTACTCATCGCTTTTTTCTCTTTCCTTTTCTTTGTTAAGAAAAATCGTGTTTACTGATACCATAGAATAAAGGGAAAGGTCATTTTTAAATAAAATGCATCTTTTCATCCAAACTGAGTGAAAATTTGTCCATATAGGTAAAAACTGCTGACAAATCGAATCAACATACTTCTGAGATCTTTAGAGACCCTTCGAAAGTCCCCAGAAAACCTTTCCTCGAAAAACCATGGTATAAGCAGAAGCACTTCTAACATACGTCTTTCTTTAAGATAATATCTTTTGCAGCTACAGTTAGTTCGGTATGCCTAGAGGAAATAAAAGGAAAAGTCAATCGCCCAGTTTTTATGCTTTGTAATATTCATACATAAAATAAATATCGAATAAATTTGTGGATAATCGTACACCTTAGGCACAATTATTTGACCAAGGGTACCGGATGCAATAAGAAATATCGCTCGATCGTTACATCGTCGAATAAATTTTAGACATTTATCCGGATCTGTAAATTTGTCGTGAAACTTGTCGAAATTGATCTTTTAAATTCTCATAATCTTCCGGTATACATATGTAGCGATCGAGCCAAACAATAATGTGCTTTGAATCACCTACAGTAGTTTCTGACATGACGCCTCAGTAAGAAATGTTTTACTTCGTTAAATACGTAAATTACTGATTAAATGAGCGTCTTGAAGTAGAAGAAAAACAAATATAGTTCATGCTCGTTACACCAATAATGTTAAAATAAACCTTTTTTTTCTTATTTTAAAAATGCAACAAAAGGAACGAGAAGGAAGGTAAAATAATTTATATTTTATTTTGCTGAAAAATAATCATAGCTACTTTACAACAAGATAAGAGTATGTAATCTTGAACAGAAAATTTCTTATTCTTTCCTTAATGTGATCAACAGAATGTGAGAACAAAACAGAAGGTATACTGCGCAGTTGTTTACCTACAAATGAAAGGAAACAGTGAAAAATATCTGCTAGAAAATAGTTGGAATTTCAGATTAAGTGCATATACAATAGAAAATGTTTAAGAAAAGACAATAAAGAAATGTCGAGAACAATGTTCCGAACATTTTGAAAACTTGCTTTTCTTGGTTCAAAAGAACATAGTCTGAGGAGAAAACTTTTTCATTTCACTCTAATCGCTAAACAAAAGGGAAAAAGATTTCTTTCTTAATCCTTCATTGTTGAGCAAACTAACTATTTTAAAAATCAACAGATTTGCACCATTAACTGTAAAGGCTGTTTCTCTAAAAAAGCAGCAAGATTAACTGTCATCTACTAAAAGTTACACGTATATATACGTAAAAGAAATTTTAGAACGGGCGTTTTGACCTCGTGTCAAAACTTTATACGGGGTCCAGACCCCGTACCGAGGCTGATTTATTTACATTCTACCCGTTCCCTTGTGAAAGAGTAGGGGCGTACTTTTAGCCGTTCACTTACACCCCGTATCACTATACGTTCTGCCTCGAAGAAATACGGGGTCATAAAAAATGATTTCTTATGCCTTCGAAGCGCCGAGTCGTTACTTGTTCTACTGTTAGATGCCTTGGGATGCAAAATTAACTTTTGTGTATGTTTCACAGTCGGGGATGTCGTAAGATGAAACGTTTCAATTTCTATGCATTTTCGATCTGGATTAGATGCAAAGGCTTTTTACCAAAGACACAGTGATTCACACGAAAAACTTATTCAGACTCACGTGTTGCTCTCAACAATAACATTCAAATACAAAATATGGAAAATAAATAGCTATTGGA